AAGTCAAAACCCCCCCCCCCCCCCCGGGGGGATGGCCATGCCACAATCCCTTCTCCTCCATTCTCCTCTCGGGGTTGTGGGCATGCATGCACACTTGCCCGGTGTGAGTTTAAGCCACCCGGTCCAGGACTCGAACTGCGGTCCGCTACATGGGAGTCCAGTGACATAGCCATTATACTAACTGCTGGCCTCTGGAGACAGAATCTTTAAGGAAACACTGCTGACCAAGAAAAGAGCAGACTCTCAGTCATAGTATGTATATAGGAACACATTACACAGAAAATAAATTTTAGTTGTTTTTTTAAAAAAGAATTACTTTATTTAACTTTATTTATTCATTTATTTATTTTAATTTGACCAGAGAGGGACAGAGCGAGAGAGCGAGAAGGAAAGTGAGAAAGCAAGCCATAGGTCCGGGACTCAAACCATGAGTTGAGTTGGCCAAGTGAGAGTCCAGAGTCCTTAACTACTATGCCACTTGCTGACCTCTAAATTTTATCTTTTAAAAAATTGAATTTACCTTACGATTTCTTTATTTAGTTCATACATATAAATTAGTTTTTCTGCATTTTATCCTGAGAAGCTATTTTAGTCCTGATGCATCATTCATTCACCCATTCAGTGAGTGTTTATCAAGACCTGTTCAATGCACTGCACAGTCACTGAATGTGCAGTGGGAGCCATGGGAGGAGGAGTCGTGAACAACCATACATAGCAGTGTGAGGATCATGTTGATGTGGGATGTTGGGCTGGTCAAGCCCAACACCATTGCCTGATTCAGGACCGTAAGATGACCAGGTTCTTGTCTCACGCTCATGAAGAATTAGAGACGTGGACAAATGGAGAAGCAGCAAAGCAAAGTTTACTTAAGGAGAGGAAAGTTCCCAGAATAGGGAGGGGTCCCTGGAAAGGGCTGCCCAAGAGGAGCTGAGGTCAGGGGTTTTAGTCCAGCAATCTGAGTAATGGACTGGCTCCCTGATAAGAAAGTGGGAGTCAGAAAATAGTGACATGGTAGTCTGGGTGATTTATTACCCTATTCTTTATGGGGTCAACAGATCTATTGATCTGCACTTTTTGTTAGACTATTGTTAGCAAAGAGAAACTGTTGTCTGTAGCTATAGCTATTTTGAACCCTAATACAGCCTGCTCTTTGTTGGTTAAAACTTAGCCATTGTGTCGCCATCTTGGGTTTTATACCCAGCTATATGTTCCCAAGCCTATCTCCTAGGTGGTCAGGGTGGGGGTTTCTTTTGGAGAAAATAACACATAAATCAGATCTGGAAAGATTTGACCAAATAAAGAAAAATGGGAGAGGAAGGATAAGCAGATGGAATAGAATGAAGCAAACTCACAAATCATGGCAGAGTGGAGGAATTTGTGAAGAGATTTAAAGCAGCAAACACATGTTTGTGAGCATCTCTTCCAAACCCACCTGCTCAGCTTCTGTGCTGAGGGTGGCCAGATGCGCTCCCATACCCAAACAGTTCCTTTCACTCTCCGCCCAGGTCTTATTGTGGGTCACAGGAAAGTAGCAGTGGGACTGGAAGGCTCTCCACCCTACAGGGCAGCAAGTCCAGGTGCTCCCTGGGTAAAAATAGAAAAGAGTTATAAAGAGCTTAATATGAGTGGGAATAATACTAGGATTACCAAACTCATTCTGTCCCCCATCTCCCAAAAAACCCTGAAAATTACATTTCTAAATATCTTTCAGACAGAAGTATCTGCAATCAAATAATGCCTATGAGGAAATGACTGAGTGTTCTCTTAGAAGATATGATTAGTATTCAGTGCCCCTACATCTTCCTGTCATTTTAAAAGTGTTTCCATAACAAAGGCTTCTCAGGACATTTTATCCGAAGGAGCAAAAAATCTGCTAAAACTCAGGCATTTCTGCCTTCTCCCAAATGAGACTTGACAACATTCTAGAATAGTGAGAGATAAAGACATCTCAGCAAAGCTATGTATTCTAGGAAGACATGGTTCTTATGATATGGCTGAATCAGGGGAAAATGGAATTAAATTAATGTTACATTTTGGTTGTGAAGAAAGGCCCATAAAATGTGTTGTTACATTTCCCAATTATATTTCCAACTGATTGTAGTCATGAGAAATAATTGTTTCCTTTACTGATGCTTGTTTATAAGCTAAATTCTGATTTTATGTTATTTGAGTCCTTCCTGGTTTACTACTGGTAATCTGTAAATCGAATTTTGAGCTCTAATGGAAATTGAAATAACAAAGAAATGCCTTGTGCTCTCTGCCTTCTGTACCTTTCTGTTCTGATTTTTCTCTGACACATGTTAGCTTCTCATGAGACGCCAGTAACTTGAACACCTCTATGGCTCTTTCACAGCGCAGAAAGTTGTGATGAGTCACTGTCAAGAAGGGAAAAAAGGTCAGTTCCTTTCCGGTATCACTACTATAATTAAGAAATGAGGACTGGCCTCTGTAACCTAGCTCTGACTCTCCTAGTTAAGGCCCCACCTGTTCTTTTCTTCCTATGCGGTTCCTTTCTTCAGGTACAGGTAAATTGGTTGAGTGAAACTGTTAAAAATTAATTTTTTAATTATAGCACATTGTCCATTGTATTCTTTACATGGGTAGTTTCTCAAACTTTTATGTGCATGCACTTTTAAACTGATGAAGAACAGATACTACACTTATTCTTACCAAAATGATTACATGAACTTTTTAAACATGTAACCTTTTGTATGAAATGTATATTAAGTGGAGAATTTTGTATGAAATGTATATTAAGTGGAGAATTTTGGTTAATATTGGAATAGTTCTACAAAGTTTAATAAACCTTATATTTATTTATTTTAAAAATATTTTTTTAACTTGAAATATAACCAAATACAGAAATAATGAAAAACATAGATTCACAGTTCTGCAAATTATTGGAAAGTAAACACTCAGATAACAGCCACCCAGTGGGAGAAACAGAATACTACCAATACCCCAAGTAACCTTCATAGCCCAAATCCAACTCAGTTTCTTCCCCTTATACGGAACCACTTCATGGCCCAGCAGGTGGTGTTGTGGTTAGAGTGCTGAACACTCCCACATGGCTGACCATGATTTGAGTACCAGACCTGGTGGCTTGCTTTCCCCCCCCCCCCCCCCCGCCAAGTCAAATTAAAATAAATGAATGAATAAACAAAATTGAAATAAATAATTCTTTAAAAAAGCAACCATTTTGTGGCCTTTAAAGTAATTGCTCTGTGCTTTGTTTCATAATTTTACCACTTAATAATATATCCCCAAAACATATAGATCAGATTTGTCTGCTTTTGAAACTTTTTTTTTTGTGGAGAGGTTTTTGCTATAGGGCGTGTGCACTTGCCAGCCAGACAGAGAGAGACAGACAGAAAGCAAGAAATCACCCCCCAGGGGGGATGGCCATGCCACAATCCCTTCTCTATTCTCCTCTCGGGATCTTGGGCATGTACGCACACGTGCCCGGCATGAATTTAAGCCATCGCATTTGGGACTCAAATCCTGGTCGAGTACATGGGAGTCCAGCGACATATCCATTATGCTATCTGCTGGTCCTGCTTTTGAACTTTTTCTAAATGGAATCACACCATTGCATTATTTTGCTTCCATCTTCTGCTCAGCATTTTTCTGAAATTTATCGTTGTTGCTTCATGTAGCTATAATTCCACTATCTTTATTGCTAATCTATTGTCTTTATGCAGTAAGATGTATTTATTCTAGTTAATATTTTCTTTGCTTTGAGAGTTTGGCTATTGCGAACTATGCTTCTCTGAACATTTTCGACCATGCATCCTAGGGAAGGTAAACCCGCCCTTCTGTAGGGTATCTATGTGGGTGTATATGTAGCATGCTGGTAATAGAGTAGACATGTCATAAGCCATGACAGTGGTAAGCTTTCCAGAGTGATCGTATGCTTTCCACTCCCAGCAACAATTCATGAGCAGTCCAGTTGTTCCACAGCCGCATCGATATTTGGTAGTACCAGGTTTTTTAATCGTGGTCTTCCTGATTGATATGTTTACTCTGGTATCTCATTTTGAGTTGCATTTACAATTTCCTGTTAACTAATGAGGCTGATACTTTTTTGTATGTTTACTAGATATATCATTTTCTCTTCTGTACAGTGCCTGTTTAAGACTTTACTCACTTTTCTGTTGTGCCCTTAAGGTCTTGTCTTCTTTCCTATTCTTTTTGGTTGGTTGGTTTGTAAAAGGGTGAGTGGACTTGCCAGAGAGACATAAAGAGAGATAGGGAAGCTGACAAATCATCCCCCAGAGGGCATGTCCACACTGCAACCCCTTTCCTTCCTTTCTCCTGTCGGGATTTTGGTTATGCGTGCATGTGTGCCCAGTGTGTTTTTTCAAGCTGTGGATTTGGGATTCAAACCGTGAATTCGGCCATTTGGGATCCAGCTGCATTAACCACATGCCACTGGATGGCTCAGGATTTTTTTCTTATTGACTTGAAAGATTTTTATACATTATATGAATTAATCATTTATTAATTGTATGCATTACAGATATGTTCTCCTTTGGTTTTCATTTTTCACGTTTAGGGGTCTCTTCTGCTGTACAGTAATTTTTTAAAAATTTAGTATAATTTGTAAATGTTTTCTTTGTTTTCTAGAGTACTTTGTGACTTAAGAAATCATCCCCTGCCTCTAGGTCATGAAGTTATCTCCATGTATTTTCTTAAAATTTTGTTGGTTTGCTTTCCACAGTTTGGCTAGTTTAGATAATCCAATCTAAGCTCTCCAAGATAATTCAATCTACCTTGGATTATCATTTGTACATGACATAATGCAGGAGACCAATTTCATTTTAAAAATATAGATAATCAATGAACTCCATAGCATTAGCTGAATAAAATTGTCTTTTTCTCATAAATCTGCTAAGTCTCCCTCTATTTTTACCAAAAGAGTTTATACATGCAGGATTTATAACTATGTTCTGTATTCCTTTCTTTAAAAAAATTATTTTATTTAACTTTATTTATTTTAATTTGACCAGAGGAGGGTAGAGCAAGAGAGAGAGATAAAGTGAGAAAACAGCCATTTGGTCCAGGACTCGAATGGCAGTAGGCCATGTGGGAGTCCAACACCCTTAACACCACACTACCTGCCGGCCCCCCTTTTTTGACTATAGCTATATCTATCTTTACCCTTAACACCACACTACCTGCCGGCCCCCATTTTTTGACTATATCTATATCTATCTATATCTATCTATATATCTTTATCTATATCTATATCATCTATATCTATATCTATATATCTATCAATGCATATCATTACAGCTTGCAAAATAAATTTTCCCAGCATGAATACACTGCATATTAGTCCAGTAAAGATATTATCATACACACAATCATCAACGGATAATTTTCCATTTTTGTGTCTCTTAAATGTTTTGCTTCTTTCTTATCCCCTTTGATTCTTTTCCTCTTACCTTCCCCTATTTTCCCCCTCCTCACACACTGTCTCTAGTATCTGCAATTGTTCTCCATGCTTTTACATCTTCTGATCTTTCAGTTTCTGCCATAGCATGTAGACATTTGATATTTGATCTATTGTCTTACTGTTTATTCTAGTACTTTTTAAAAAAGTCATTGCACGTAACTTTATTTATTTATTTAATAATTTATTGATTTGACCAGAGAGGGGAAGAGAGAAAGAGAGAGAGAGAAAGAGAGAGAGAGAGAGACAGCAAGTAAGAGAGAAAGAGGGAAAGTGAGAAAGCAAGATGCCAGGTCTGGGACTTGAACTGCAGTGGACCATGTGAGAGTCCAGCACCCTTAACCATCATGCCACCTGCTGGTCCTATACTGTAGTAATTTAATCATAACAACTTTATTCAATGTCTTGATATCAGAAAAAAATAAGTCTTCCTATGGCCTTGATGGTGGTGATGATTTCACAACACATATTTAGCCTCCTAAGTGAAATGTATACATTAATCTATAACTTTTTATATACCAGTCATATCTCAAGAAAGTGGTTTAAAAAAGAAAAAAAGAGAAAGAAAGAAACACTATTCTTCTCACCTTGTTCTTTTTAAAGCCAACCCATCAGAAAGTGGATTTTTTTTTCTGCTTATTCTTTATTGATAAGATGTAGCCCTTGGGAATCCCAGTCCAAGATAGGGAATAATTTACTATAGTCATCAACTTTTACATGAACAGAGAACTGTCTAACTTCCATGTTCAAGTTCCTGACACAAGGCAACATCATCAAAGAGTAGAAGGTAAGGGATGTAGCTCTGAATTTGAAATCCAAGACAGTGAGACATTTTAGATTGAGATGTTGAGGGAAATTATCAGTCTTGAGAAAGCAAAAGGTTTGGAGCAACTTTATGGGAGTTGTTTTGGAAAATAATTCAAGGAGAGTTCCACTTTAGCTAACAACTTACCCAAAGAACTTGCAATAAAACAGGCACCAAGAAGTGAGATGGAGGCAGTAGCAATGGCCCAGGGGATCAGCTGGGAAGGTCGACTTCCTTGCATTAGACAAAAAGACATAAATAAGTAGATATGCTCTCAGCACAAGAGCTACAGCTAATTCTACCAAGGAGCAAAATAGATATGAGTACATCCAAAATATTTTAAATGTGGTAGACAGCTTAAATATCTCCCCTGAATAAGTAAATTTTAGTTTACTGATAAATAAATAGAAAAAATGTATATATTTTGTTTTTTGAAAATTTGGAACAGAGGAGGCTTTGATAAGCAAAATACAAAACACAAAAGCCATAAAAACTGATAATTTGGGTGCATAAAGTCATATTTGGAGGTTGGCAGATAGTGTGGTGGTTACGGTGTTGGACTCCCACATAGCCGACAGTAGTTCAATAGTGGCTTGATTTCTCACTTTCTCTCTGGTCAAATTAAAAAAAAAAAAAACAAATAAAACAATTCTTTTAAAAAATAAAAGCACTTAAAGTAAAGTTTCTATGTAACAAACATTGTTACAAGACAAAGAACATGTGAAAAAATCAATATTCAGACTGTATAAAAATTTCTAAAATCAATTAGAAAACTGAGTGAAACTTTGAACAGGAAATGTGCTAAATATTTAATTTGCTGAAATTATAAATGCCATTAAATAAATAGAAGCATGCACAATCAGAGACCTATAAACTAAAATGCTATGGTATGATTTTTCATATATCAGATTTTAAAAAAAACTATTTAATTTTATTTATTATTGTTATTAATATTTTAAAATTTTCCATAAGGCATGTGCACTCACCAGAGAGAGATGGGGTGGGGGCGGGGGTGGCGGGGTGTGAGGAGAGGGAGGGAAAGTGAGAAATCAAGGTCTGGGACGGTCTGGGACTCAAACTATGGTTGGCCATGTGGGCTTCCAGGGCCCCAGCTACTATGCCACCTGCTGGCCCCTCACATATCAGATTTTTAAATAGATTGAAAATATCTAAGTTGGAGGACTAGCAGTTGGCATAATGGCTATATCGCTGGACTCCCATGTAGTCAACTACTGTTCAAGTCCCAGACCTGGTAGCTTAAACTCACGCCGGGCAGCGTGTGTGTGCATACCCAAGATCCTGAGAGGAGAACGGAGGAGAAGGGATTGCGGCATGACCATCCTCCTGGGGGGTGATTTCTCACTTTTTGTCTCTCTGTCTTTCTGGTGAGTGCACATGCCCTATAGCAAAAACCTCTCCAAAAAATAAAAATTAAAAAAAAAAACAAACTAAGTTGGCAAGGCTGAGGGGAAATACGACTGTGTGTGAGGAAGTAGATTCTGTTGCTAAGACTGTAAATTAGAACAGCCTTTTGGAAGGATCAATTTAGTAACATCAATATTTAAATGCTATACATGTACGAGAGTGATTTCAGTTCTTGGGATCTAGCCTATAAAAATAACTGGTTATTTTTGTGAAAGGATATTCATTGCAGTACTTTTGAAAGTAGAACAACAACAACAAAAACCCAACAGTGGTGAACCTGAAACTTAGCAATACTAGAAATTTTAAATTATGGTGAATCCATATGATGAAATTCTATAAGCAATTAAATGATCATTTATGTCAATATGTACTGACATAAAAAGTCTCTAAAGCATATTATTACATAAAAAGGTGTTTTTTTTTTTTTTGAGGGGTTTTCGCTATAGGGTGCATGTGCTTGCCAGACAGAGAGAGACAGAGAGACAGAAAGCGAGAAATCACCCCCTGGGGGGGATGGCCACACCACAATCCCTTCTCCTCCATTCTCCTTTTGGGATCTTGGGCACGCACGCACACGTGCTTGGTGTGAGTTTTAAGCCACCAGGTTCGGGATGTGAACCGCGGTCGACTACGTGGGAGTCCAGCGACATAGCCATTACGCTAACTGCTGGTCTTATAAAAAGGTATTTTTCAAGACCATTTTGCAGTATAATCCCATTAAGCTTTGCCATGGTAAAATGTAGAAATGAAGGAAAATTTCAACACTCATTCTTTTATTATTATTATTCTTATTATGTATACATTCAATTGCTATACATCATTTAGATTGTAGAGACTTTGCCCAGCATGATATACACCTCAGTCTAGCCCATTATCAACAGATAATAAACCATATCTGTGTCTCACAAATGTCTTACCTCTCTATAGATTTTTCCCACGAATTTCCTTTCCTAAGCTCTTCCCCTCTCACACTCTTCTACTTTGTCTCTACTGTCCATAACAATTCTCAATGCTTTTATGTCCTCCAGTCTTCCAGTCTCTATGCAGAGTGAGGACAGTCAGCATCTGTTAAGTGGAGACATACAATGTCTCTCTTTCATAGCCTGACTTGCTTCACTCAGCAATAAGTCTTCCATATTTGTCCACTTTCTATCGAATGCCAGGTTTATATTCATTCTATATATGCTTTGAAAATATTGTTTAGTATTCTCACAATACAAATCTATTAGTTTTGCTTGAGCCAAACATAAAATGAGCCAGTCAGAGCCTCTGATACATGATGAACCCATCTCAGTGTGTTTTCTACATCTTCCTTCTCTCTCTTCCCTAAAAGAATCTTCCTAAGTTACTCTCTCCTTTCCATCTCATTTCTCTTTTATGTGCTTTATTTCCTTTGTTCAATCTACATTTTATAAAGAAATTTCTGTTATCACCTGTATCAATCTATGCCCTTTTGCTTCACAAAAGTCATTCTTATTTCCCGCCACCTCCTCCTTCCCCTTCTCTACAATATTTTTAACTATTTTGGATTCATAATTTTATATTTTAGTCATGATTCTACTTGCCTCTTTAAAGTTGAAAGGAAAAAATACTCACGCTTACTTTGAGTTTCTTCTAGGTACATTGTGTGTTCACTCCTTCGTTGTTGAGAGGACAAAGAGCCTCTTCTATTTTTTTTCCTCAGGGTATTTTTCTGTAATTAGAGGGATATATTCAGAAATACTTGAAACTGAACTTCAGTCTTACCTATTCTGTGGAGATTAGAAAGTTCTCAATATAAGAGAGTTTAACTCAAAAGAAGAAGTATTTTCAAATACTGGGGTTTCCTTTCATTTAAATGGGAGATGGGGCAAATAAAAAAAGGAAATTGAGAAAGCGACAGTCCAAAACAATTGGTAGACAGTTCTGTTGGTATGTTGAAGTCACTAGTGTGTCATGTGGAATTTCTCAATTTGTTTTTATTCATTTTTCAAAAACATTTATCAGTGATCTAAATGAAATAATTATTATGTCTAATAAAACCTTTATAAAACCTCCTAATGTTTTAATTTTCCTGAATATTATATCTTCAAAGGCAGTTATAAGCTTTAAACTGTGCCCTAGAAAGTTCTCTGAGCTGAATGAGTTGTGCCCACGCTAGTAAAAGAAAATGTGAAAAATGAGCTAAAGTTTTTAATGTACATGTTGTATGTACATTTTGTTTAGAGACCCAAATTGCTTGTTTTGGATTTGAGGAAGAGATGGTGGTGATCAAATCCCAATTATCTCCCTACATGAGAGAAAATAGGCTTGATAAGAAAAAGAAAATATAAGGTTCTATGATAGAGACCTTTGTATGGTGCTGTTATGTTTGCATCCCTACCAGAACGCATTTGTTGAAGCCCTATGAGTAATGGTAGGTGGAGGGGGAACTTTGGAAGGTAATTAGGTTCTATGTATATATATGTGTGTGTGCGTATGAATATGTGAATGAAATACTATGTGAATGAAACACTAACTACTCTGCTAAATTAGGGATGGAGGGGGTAAAATTACACATTTGGCAATATATTTATTTTGCAGCACTTTCACTACAAAAAGTATTCTCCTAGAAATGCTTTCCACAAACTGTCATATGCAGTCCTAGAAACTAGACTTTCTCTAAAGTAATAATTATTCTTAGTAAAAGGTTCTTGAACTCCTAAAGCATATATAAATCCTGCTATAAGTAGGAAAGAACACAGATCTATCACATTCTGCTGTTTCCAGAAAGTAAGCATGATATAAAAAAATTAGAGAAATTCTGCTCTTCTACTAGAAAATTTTCTGAATGAGAAGCTTTGTCCAAGATAGCCTTAAGGCCACACACGTACACACACACACACAATGTGAACAATGAGCAAAAGTCTATTAACCTTTATTTTGGAGTTGAAGAAGAAGTGGTAGCTCTATGGATTAAATTCCAAGATCTTCCTAGATGATAGAAAGTAGACTTGTTAAGGGGAAAAAAAACCATGAAATTATGTGGTAAAGACATGTTCTTTATTCTTAAAACAAACAGAATATATACATTTGAGGGTGATCTTGTAGCACCAGGTTAAGCTTTGCACAAAGGAAGCTGGATCCCAGATGGCCAACCAGGGTTTGAGTCCTGGTCCAGTAACTTCAAAAACTTTCCCAGGATCCTGACAGAGTGAAGAATTGGAAGAAGGACTGCAACATGACCAGGCCCCATAGGGGTTGCTTTCTCTCTCACTCTTTCTTTCTTTCTTCTTTCTTTCTTTCTTTCTTTCTTTTTCTTTCTTTCTTTCTTTCTTTCTTTCTTTCTTTCTTTCTTTCTTCTTTCTTTCTCTTTCTTTCTTTCTTTCTTTTCTCTTTTTTTCCCTCTCTTTCTTTCTTTCTTTCTTTCTTTCTTTCTTTCTTTCTTTCTTTCTCTCTCTTTCTTTCTTTCTTTCTTTCTTTCTTTCTTTCTTTCTTTCTTTCTTTCTTCCTTTTTCTTTCTTTCTTTCTTTTTTTCTTTCTTCTTTCTTTCATCTTTCTTTCTCTCTTTTCCTTTCTTCTCTCTTGCTCACAGACTCCTCTGGCATTAAAGAAAGGGAATAAGGAAGGAAGGGAAAAAGGAAGAATATATACGTTTTCAGGCATAGGTATATACTTGTTTTGTTTTATAAATTTAAACAATAGATACTGGAGATGATAAGACAAGTAGTGGTAGGGAAAACCCTTTTCTGTCTCAACATCAGGAAAGGCTAACATACATCAGTTGTATCATTTAATGAGCAGGTGGAAAGGGAACCCAAGAAGTGTTCAAACAGGGATCATAATAAGCTGAAAAATGATGAACTGATCAGACGTACTAAGCAAAGAGCTAAAACAGACTTACTTATATCTTAGATAATAAAAATCCCTACGTGACCTTTCTGATTATGATAAATAAATACATGGCTGGATAATGCTGACTAAATCAATGAGTTTTATAACATTAGTCAAGCAATGCATTAGAAGTACAGTATATCTGAGAGAGACACTTAGCTAAAAAAAACCCTGAGAAACAAAATCGTATTAAAAATACAGACTAAAAAAAACTGTTGATATCATGAGTGAAGTTTAAGAATACAATAACTGTCAGTTAATTTTATTTAAAAAATCAATTACCTAGCAAAAGGGTTACTAAATCTTGCCTAAGTATAATGCAATGGTTGCAACTTAATCTTGCAAAGGAATAAAGATATTGCAAAACTATGAATGTGCTGAAAAGTTCTGTTTCATTTTAGGTACGTTGCCAAAATATATTGTTTGGCGGCTTCAGCATCTGGAATATGAAATAGCTGAATGTCCACTTGAACTTTCTGGCAGCCAGAACATGCATTATCATTGGTCATATGATGGCATAGGTGTAGCAATGTTAGTAGTACAAGAGCAGCATTTGGTTTAAATTTATTATCAACACCTGGGTACTTGACTTTAAATATTTTTAAAAGTTTATTTATCTCTTCCATAGCAAGAGAAGGAGAGAGCATCCCCAATAGGGTCCTGAATCCATGATGCATCCCTAGTCTCTGTCGGCCCCAAATCAAGCACATGTGTACTCAATGTGTGCAGGGAGGTCTCTGGACATGAACCAGAAACCTTTCTACATGGGTCAGTCTTTCAGACAACTTTCTACTTTTTGTCTGTTTAATGTTTCCTTCCTGTGCACCTCTCACCCAACCTTTAGCACCCACTCCCTAACACCACTCCACTCCCTTACAGTCTCTTGTATCTACACTTATCATTCTACTATCATATCTTCAGATCTTTCCACTTTTGCCATAAGGTGCAGATATTTGGTATGAGTTGAGTGGAGATATACAGTATGTATCTTTCAAAGTCTGGCTCACTTTGGTCAACATTAAATCTTCTGTATTCATCTACTTTGAATCAAACAATAGGGTCTCATTGTTTCCTATAACTGAATAAAATTCCATAGTATATATGTGCCACAGTTTTTCAACCTACTCTTCAGTTTTGGGAAACTTAGATTGGTTCCATGCTGTAGTAATAGTGAGTAATGCTGCAATAACCATGGGTGTGCAAATTTCTTTCCAACTGAGTGTTTTCATATTTTTTTTGGGTAAATACTAAGGAGCAGGACTACTGGATCATATGGTAGCACGGTAGTTCTACTTGTAGGATTTTTTTTTAGGCTTCAATATTTTATTCAAGTTTTATTTTAAGTGATGGTAGTTAAAGCATTTGAAGGGGAGGATCTAACTCCACAAAAATTGGAAAACTCTAAAATGTATCCATTGAACTGCTAAAAAATAAATTGTCTGCTGAGAATACAACAAAAGTCCAATTTGGATTCTGAGTGCTGTCACCATAAGATCACAACCACACAGACTCTTCCCAGCTTGCAGCTGGAGCTCCTGAAAGCTATCTCATACTCTGGTGCAAGGGCAAAAACCACAACTCAGGAAGGAATTAAGTCCTGAATCATTGACTGCATCACATACACCCACCCCCTCCCAAAAAATGGCACAAAAGAAACAGCTACCACACCCAGCAGACTACTTTGGTGTAAAGGAAGTGATGATGGAATGGGGTGGAAATAGGTCATGAAGATCTGTCTAAAAAAGTCCCTTTCAGAGGAGTCTGTACACACCATCAAATGAGCCTCTCATCAATTAAGGAAACTAAGGTTCAGTTTTCAGGAAGTCACAATATAATTTGTTTACTCAATAGGAACTTACAAAGTGCCTACATATTATCAATTTCCACTTGCAATCATTTCTAAAAAATGAAAACAAAAATAAAAAAATATCCAAATACCTGGCATCTCTAGAAGGACCACCAAGTTCCCCCTCCCCATGCCTACATACCTTTTTAAATTTTTTCAAGGGGAATTGAATCTCTTCTGTACCACTAAAGGGTAACACTTTAAAGCTGAATTGTCCTTAACCTGGAGGTCTAACGTGATATTTAGTAATACTTGCATTCCAGACATACAACATAAAGCATACACTGAGTTCTACTCAATGCTATGCTGCAAAATAGTTTAAAATTAAACGATTGTACAGTATTCATTTATGCTTGAAATTCCAGTCCTAGACCAAGTTTGTGGCCACCAGTGTTGATGTTCTTGTCAGAACTGACTGACAATGTCAGTTTGATGAGTGCCTTTATGGTCTGAGTGTATCCTAGGCCTAAAAGACTGGGGTTTATTTAAGCCAAGAAACAGGCATCAGTGTCGATCTGATACTTGGCCATTATTCCAAAGCAAGTGTTACTGTTTCCTGCTGTCCAGGCGAGATTGACAGCTGTCTCCAAATTTTTGTTCACCTTCTGGCAAATGGAACCACCAAATTCTGTGCCATCATTCACCTTAGTGTGAAGTTGAAATTCATCAGTCTTGTAGCCAACCATGAAATTGCTCTGTTTCACTCAGGACGTCACATTCTCCAAGTTCATCTGGTGGCCAGCCATACAGCCCTCCTAACCTAGCACCAGAGCACCCCAAGTGGAAGGCCAACAGTGTCAAAATCTAGAGTACAGCCTGTCTTGATTTTAGGTAAGAAGGATGAATCAAAGGTCAGCTTCAGTCCACGTGCAAGCTCGTCTTCCATGGTAATTTCTGTGCCTAGCGTGGTGTCAGTATTCCACTTCTCCATAAATGTCAGGTTGTATTTGGTCCATCTGAACTTGATTACCAGACTGCCTGTCACTTTATTAGTCTCTGTGCTGGCTGAGCCTGAGCTGGTAAATTCCAATCCATTCTCAGATTTTGTTTTCTTTCTTTCTTTTATATTTATTTATTTATTTTTGGAAACTTTAAAATAAAAAATTAATTAATTTACA